TATATATATATATGTACCAACGCGCACTTTACCCGTACCATCGCGCACCTCAGAGTATGGGGGTTTTCTAATGTAGCCACTTGTGCAAGCATTAGCACAAGGCATATGACTTTTACATGCTCATATACACATTAGTAGCAGCGCAACCATTAAAGTGGTTCTCGTGAGTATGTTACTTTTTTGTACTCAGAATGCGTTTATGTTTTCTGGATATATTTTTATTCTCGGATACTTACTTGTACTGTGGTATGAATTGTAGGTCCAATTAGCAACCGAAAAAGCGACTGGGAAGAAGTACGCCATCAAAATATTAGAGAAAGCACATGTTGTGAAGGAGAAGAAGGTATACCCAGTGTTATATTGAGGCTGAGAAATGTATGTGATGGCATAATGTTAAATTGGTGGGTCTTCAATACCCTAAACTTTAAAGCCCTAAATCCCTAAATCCCTAAAATATCTGAGAAATGTATGATACTTTAATTTTAGATTGATCGATCTTCAAAACCCTAAACCCTAAGATATCCATGAAAGCCCATGTAATGAAGGATAAGAGGGTATACCCAGTGTTATATTGACGTTGAGAAATGCATAGGATGCTATAATGATAGATTGGTGGATCTTAACCCTAAACCCTAAAATATTAGAGAACCCCCATGCTGTGAAGGATAAGAGGGCATACCCAGTGTTACATTGAAGTTGATAAATGTATTTGATGCTATAATGTTAGACTGGTGGATCTTCCAGATTGTCATGAAAGGATAAACGTATCTACGATATAACTCTGCCAGAGCCTATGCCGTAGGACTAAGCGGACCATTCATGTGGATAGGTGCTTATTGTATATATATATATATATATATATAATATGTATGTATATATATATATATATCTATGTATATTTATATATAAATAGTTTAGCCGTCAGAGCTCATATTTCAATTTTAGTTCAGGGCAATCAGGTTTGCATATTTTATGGCTTTGGAAGCTCAAAATCGCAAGGCTAATTAGCTCATACCTATCCTCGCAATGAAATTTGAATTGACTACAAATATGTATACATTTGCGCACGCGCGTGTGTGTATGTATGTATGTATCTATCTGTTTAACCTACTATCTATCTATCTATAATTTCGTTTGAAGATTACTTGCGCAAGTGTGCACGTATACGCTATACGCTATAAATTATCTCTAAAGACAGCTATCAATATTTATACCAGCTGCCCTGGTGTGGAATACCTGCCAGCCACATTTTTAAATGATATGGATGCATATATGTAAACCCACATGTACAAATATATAAACATACATATATATATATATATATATATATATATATATATATATATATATAATAAATAACACATATATACACATATGTAAACATACATATTTATGTATGTAAACAAATATATATACATATATATATGTAAACACATATACATATATGCAAATGCACATAGCGTACTGTTCATCGTCTCAATGGTTGAGTATATCGCAGACACTCAGAGGTCGGTTCATACGCTTTGAGGATGCTGGGAAACCGAACCTTATAAAACCTCAGTGCCTTTATATCTATTTTGATTTCCCATAAGTATTTGATTTTAATATCCCATCACTTATTTTAATTTTCAATGTGTATCTTATTTTAATTTTTCATATGTTTATTTTTCTAAATGTATCTTTTTCTTACTGTCACATATGTATCTTATTTTTGCTTTTACAAATGTATCTTATTTTTACTTTTCCATAAATATCTTGTTTTTACTTTTCCATATGTATCATATTTTTTCTTTTACATACGTATTTTATTATTACTTTTACGTATGTAACTTATTTAACTTTTCTATATGTATCTTTTTTTAATTTTTATGTGACTTATCTTTATTTTTATATATGTATCTCTGTGTGCGGGTAAACATAGGTCAAATATGTCAATCTGGAGAAAAATGTGTTTGAGAAGCTCAACAGCCATCCCAGTTTCGTTAAACTGTACTACACTTTCCATGACGCGCGGAGACTATGTAAGTACACTGTACGCATCGCTTGCATGTTGCTGCACACACTTGTAATGCTTAGCATCTGTGTTTGCCTGTGCTTGTAGAAATGGGTGCTGCAGTGTGTGTGTGCACGTACATGATCTGAGAGCGTGCTGCTATAAACAAAGCACGTCTCAAGTCTCGCCTTCTCACGATTAACCGCCTGGCTCACGTCAGCCCGCCTATGTGTTAGTGCGTGTGTGCACTTCGTATGTTATGTATTAGTGCGTGTGTGCACTTCGTATGTACCTCTGTTGAGAAATATGTTGAAGTATATGTTGTGGTATATGTTGACTTATATGTTGAGATATATGTTGAGATATATGTTGAAGTATATGTTGACGTATATGTTCAGATATATGTTGACGTATATGTTCAGATATATGTTGAAGAGTATGTTGAGGTGGATGTAGTATATTGTATAGTACTATGTAGTATATTGTATAGTACTATTGTGTGTGTATATTTGTAGTATATAGTATAGTGCTATTGTGTGTGTGTATATTTGTAATATATTGTATAGTGCTATTGTGTGTGTGAATGCATTCGCCGACGCATGTATACCTTATATATTCCTAGTCGTGTGTGTACATACCTAACCCTCCCCCACATCCCCACCTAACGACTACCACAGACTACGTATTAAGCTACGCTGAGAATGGAGAGCTCTTGCACTACATCCGCAAACTGGGCTCCTTCGATCAGAAGTGTGCGCAACACTACACGGCCGAGATGGTGCTCGCACTGGAGTACATGCATTCTCAGGTGAGCTTGATGAAGGGCAATCTATATATAGATATACCTACATATACCTACATATGTATAACTCTGGGATGGTGTTGCCTGGAGTGTAATCTATTGTTAGATGTGCTTACAAAAGTATAGCTCAGGGAAGATATTCGAAGTATAGGCTCAGGGATGGCATTGCCAGGTAAGTTGAAATGCAATCTATAAATAGATATGCTCACATACGTATAACTCAGTAATGTAATACTAAGGAAGTCTGTTTATTAGCACTCCCGATATATAGATTTGCCCATATATGTTTAACGCAGGGGTGTATCCCCGGATAAGCCTGGAGGAATGCCCTTCGTATATAGATATACACGCATATGTATGACGATAGGTGGTATCCGAGTTAAGCCTGATGAATCACTATATACATAGATATGCGTGGTTTTTGCACCTGCAATGGTTGACTCCAATCGAATGCGTGCATCTCCAACAACTTCACTTGAACTCCTTTGCACACCCTGTTCTGTTTATGTCAGCAACAATATTATTTGTCATCGCTTCTGTAGGTACTGTTCCCTACTGCCATTTAAAACCTGAAACCCTTATTTTCGTTTTCAAACCCTAAAACCCTTATTATCATTTTGTATTAACACGCAACGTATTTGGTATAGAGCTCTTTTTCATCCGCTCTTTGGGGATCCTGGGACTCATTTTTTTCCACTGATTTGTATTGATGTATTGTTCTGTGGGTTGTACAGGGCATCATCCACCGGGACTTCAAGCCTGAAAACATACTATTAGGTGCCGACATGCATCTCCAAATCACGGATTTTGGGACTGCGAAAATCCTGCTACAGCCACAACCCCCCGCGGATTCCAGGTGTGTCTGTCTCAGACAATGAATTTGTACTGAATTTCTAATCATGTGCGAACTATCGACCTCATATTCACTGATTCGGGCACTGTGACAGTGACAGTGGTCCCACCGCCACAGTCACCCGTGATTCTCGGGTGTGTCTTTGATAGAGACTAGTCTGTGGGTAGCTATTGTATCAGTTATGGTTTTATACTGACAGGGTATCGTTTGGATTGTACTGTGCGTGCTATTTACAGCATTTGATAGCCCAATCAATCAATGATTTAGAACTACGACGATCCGACCACAGCCACGAACTGGTCCCACACTCGTTTGACTCAGACATTGCTTAATAATATGGAGACTGTCGGGATTATGTGCTATTTTTAGAACCTCCGCTCCGATAGAAAAATCATATTTACTCTATAGCGTACTCCCTCATGGATCCAAGCTAATATCGAGACATTTATCTCTATACTAACAGGAGCGTATGTAAATTGTATGCTATTGTGGTTGTTGTCCGGCAACTGAGTTCATGGATGTATATATATATATTGCGTGTGTTGACTTGCTTTATATAATTCCATACGGCAAACAGTTGCCACAATCTGTGATTGGCCTCCACAGTGGCCAGATACTCGCACTATTTCCAAATCTCCAAACCCTATACTCCTCCGTTGGTACCCACCCTATTCTCAGTATATCGTTTCATTCATTGATAGGAGCAATGCTGGACGGGATTCCTCTGGTTCGACGCTTTCAGTTACCAGTGCAACCTCAGACACTCTCTCAGAGGAAGGCGCGCGCAAGTACGAACCAAAGGTCATTGTGGCCCCCACTGCCGAAGTCGATGCCATTAACAGGAGATCATCGTTCGTAGGAACCGCAGAATACGTCTCACCAGGTATAACGTGTAAGCATGTAGATATAATTTGTGGAACGGTGTATGTATGTGCGAGCATGCGTATACGTATGTAGACATACGCGTGCGTAAACATGTAGATATGGTGTAAGGACAGTTGTATGTATGTATAAGCATGTGTATACGTCTAGATACATGCGCGTGTGTGGGTTGTGGTTGTCCGCAACTACAAATCGTAGTCAGCTGTGCCCTCTACTGTAGGGGAGGGTGACGCCAGTAGAAGAATAAACCCTAAAACCATGCAGGATATGACTCACGTGGTAGTAGACTAAAGTAATGAGAGTTACATTTGCAAACATATGTATATCTACTCATAAATTCATACATATTTCATCTGCGTTTATGTGAGCGCACATGTGCAAATAAGAGTTGATTGCCTTCCAATTGCAGATGGCATATACGTGTATATTTTTAATTCTTTTATACACATATACACGCAAACACACACACACATATATATATATATATATCATAATTACATACATACATACATACATATGTACCTATATATCTACATACGGACAGACATACAAACATATATATATATATATATATACTACGGAGATATCACAAAGCTGTGATCTATGCGTTCGATTCCCCGATTTTGATAAGTTTTCTATGATAGCGTGTTGTCGCAGCGCTATTAAGTATTGAGGACAAGGGGACTCGTCCAATAGGCTACAGTTTTGTGATATCCCCGTAGTACCAAGTATTTTAACCACTCCTACTACGGGGGATATCACAATATATAAATTATATATATATATATATATCTATATCTATATCTATATCTATATCTATATCTATATAAATATATATATGTATGTATTTATATATGTATACATATATATATATATATATATATATATATACATATATGTATGTATGTATGTATATACATATATATGTATGTATGTATCTATATCTACATCTTAATTTTAATCTTTATCTTTATCTTAATCTTTATCTTTATAT